ATCTTGGATCTCTGTTCCTTCCTGCTCTTTATATACCCCTCCTCCTCTCCTTCCTCATTCCTTCCTCCACTCAATTCTTCGAAGCTCCTTTTCCTTCTCAGAAAATAATCTAACGCTCCCACACTATTCCCTCTTTCCCTTCTCACTCTACCCACCGCTCCCTTACTACCCTTACCTACATCTACCTCTTCCTCCATCCTCTAACTCACCTAAACCCAACTACCATCTTCCTGTTTTACCTACCCGTCTCTCTACCACTTACTTCTATACTTCACTAGATGTCACTACCCTCTCCTTCAACTCTCTCCAGTCATCACCTCACTCCAACCTAACCTCTTTCACCCGTTCCCCTTTTCCCTAATTTTCTCCACTCCCTCACTTTCCCCCCACACCCTTCTTATTCCACCACACTCACCTCCTCCCACACCACACTCACACACCCTCTCACACCCACACTCTCTCTCCTTCACTCTCCAATCTCTCCAACTCACTGCCGCACACCTCACTCTGACCGATAAGCATACCCGCCGGAAACGGAAGTCCAAGTGCTGTTTGTTAAAAATATCTTTTTATTTATAAATGGCACGCAAGAAGTGTCAATGTGCCGTTTGTCGCTTCGTGCCTATCAGTTTGACTGTGGTAAGACAAAGAAAGATTGTCCGTCTTTGTCTAACTCACGCCACACGCGACACATAGTACAGAAATAAACCTTTACCGACATATGACGTGCAGCGCCTTCATACGGCAAAATACTGAACTCATAAATACTGAAATTACATAAGAAAATGACATATACTACAGCATAATATTGCTGTTGATAGCCAAATTTTTTATTGTGAAATGTGCTTATATTATTTGTTCCAGTGGACTTTTGTGACATTACACATTATTGTGCGAACCTGTAAAATATTCCAACTTCTCGGCTTTTCATGAAATACTATACGTGAAAGGATAATTTACATTCGTTTAATCAGCTGTTAGACCACATGTTTTCTCGCGTAGGCAGGCCTCATTTCACGGCTTATTTTATGACTTTGTACGGATTGCTCGAGGGAAAGGTGAGAACTCGGAGCTTTTTACAAGTATGTTGAAGTGATTTAGAGTAATGTTTGTCAAGAATATCTTTTTATTTAGATATATCACACAAGAATTCTTTACGTGCCTTTACGTTTCTCGCTTCTGACGTCATAAAACTAATATGGCCGCGGCAAGGGACCAAGAGCCTTAAGATAAATATTTATGATTCATTAAATCTAAGATTATAAAAATATTTATGAAATATTTTGATAAATATTTATAAAATATTCTAATAAATCTTATAAATATTTTGTAAATATTTTGTGCTGTCTAGGGCAAAACTCCTCCCTCATTAGCATATGCTGCGCTATATCACTATACATGCTCATGTACCTAAACGTTGTCGACAGATTTCTTATAGCAGATTTCTTAACTTCATAACTATCATCTTTTTAAATACTTCGTAGCTCTTGTCTTATTTGAGAACGACAATTTTTAGTTCAATATTCGTTTTACACATCAAAATACGCAAAATTGCAAAGTTTGAGTTGAATCGGTAAGAAATCCTGTCTCCTTAACAGTTACTAATTGTTCAATAAATAATGTATAGTATTACACACACTGAAAATGTAGTTTTTGTTGATTGCAAAAGTACTATAGTACATGAAGTAATTTTTACAACTCAATTTTAATAAATGTAATATGAATAAAGAGATACTTGCCGTTTGCTAGCTACCGAAGGTAACCGGAGAACTCTATTTAAAGCAGCAAACACGGTTAATCCACCAGGCAATCTCATTGGCAATCTTTGTGTCAATTCCTTTTGCAAATTAAAGACTTTGCGAGGCATTTTTCCAAGAATAAGTTCCAATTCCAAATTCACAGGATGCTCTATATTGTTTTCTGCACTTTTATCTTCGTTATTAAAATATTTAGAAATATCACAATCTTCTTCCTCGGAAACAATAATTTTTCCATTTCCAGTGACTGTGCCAACAAAATTAATGGGACACTTTTCACGTGCAGCAATTTTCTTTAATAAATCAGTATCTTCCGGCTTGCACAATATTGCATTACTTTCTTGATATTCAGCACCCCAGAGCTCTAAAGTGCTGATACTGGGATCACCAAGGTCGAAACACTTTGTAAAGATTACAGCTCCAGCAGGATCGACTAATTCCTTGAGAACGTTACCATTACCACCGGCGCCCTGATCATGAATGCTAACGATTGGATTATTATCTCCCATTTCGACGCACGCTCGAATCATACGATTCAATTTCTGCTCCATTTCAGGGTCGCCACGTTGTACAGCACCGAAATCTAGTTCCGAACTGTTGTCACCTTGAACCTCTACAGAGCTAGCTGATCCGCCGCCAACTCCGATTCGAAATACAGGTCCACCGATTTTAATGACTTGCATACCTGGCTCTGCTGGAATCTAAAAAAATAATAAATAAAGAGTGATACCACTGGTCCATAGGTCATGTGCCCCATTTCTGGGCAATGAAAATGTACTTAAAATGGGAACCAAATTAAAAGCGTTCGAAGAGCTGATTACAAAGGGAGCGGTGCACTTGGACGCGGTGCATTTGGACACAGCCAATCACAGCACCGTGTGATTAGAGACATTTGTAGGGTCCCTTGGAACAGCGACTTGTGATTGGACTGTGTCCAATTGCCCCGTGTCCAACTGATATACACCCGATTACAAAGATATAAGTTTTAGAGCCGTCCAGTGTACTGTTCCAACACTACGATCCAAAAAGTTCCCAAATTCGAAGCTATATTCAAATTGATGTTTCTTTAGCAAAACTTAACGGATTTTAAAAATTCAACATACTACATTTAATACAATTAAATAAAGAATTTAATGGTATAAATTCCATGTTCCAAACTGAAATCTGGAAGTAGAAAATTCCAATTATAACATTAACTTCCGATTGATTTTGGAACATAAGTAAATAAGTGATAGTAGAGTAATGAAGTGCATAAAAAAATGCACCTTAACCTATTCAAAAATATTATAAATACACAAATTGTTTTTGTTTAACTTCCATATAACCAAGCGTGATTTAGCATATCAAGCAAACGAATGCACTGCATGTTTTCCTGAATAGTTAATATTTGATTGCCATCATCGTAAGTGATGTGCTACCAAATTCAGCAACATGAGTGATAATATATGTAATCAGTTAATGAAATTTTAAGAGCAAACGATCAGCAACAATAGTACGGAAGGTTACAAACAACATGATAGCAACATAACAAGAACTGATGACTTGTCTTTGCATCAGTAGCATTTTGATGGCAATGTGACAACAACAACAGAAATGGAACCTTTTTTATCGATTTGCTTTGTATTTTCTTTCAATCGTTGAAGTTTCTAAATTACATATTTTTGCCGACAAAATGTGAACAAAATAATTTTCATATATTTACAACAATTTGTCAATAACAAACATACTGTGCACGAATTTAAAAAATAACTTTTTATTTGGCAATCTTATATATGCTTATATAATGGTTCCATCATGGTTTTTATAGCAAAATAATTTGTAGATTCAGCAAATTATATCCAGCAAATAGTGATTAGTACTCTTAGCAAATCTTTTTGCTGTCCATATAATAACAAAAAGATTTTGCTAGACCAGCAGAAAATTTGCGTCATATGACTATTATTTGGTGTTTACTAGGTATGTTATAACATACTATGAACACTATAAGGATATATTATATAAGTATAAATCGTAAGAATGGCCGCGTTCAGTAGAACAAGTGATCAGTAAGCGCTCAGGGAGCTCTTGTATATGATTTGGCATATTCTTTTAAATCTTCAACTATATTCCAATCAGATGCAAGAGCTCACTGAGCGCTTACTGATCACTTGTTCTACTGAACGCGGCCAATATCATTGGAGTCATTGGGAATCGCCGCGTACCGCTCGATCCTCAAATTAAGCAACACTTTAACAGAATCAGGACAGGGATGGGTGACCGGTGATATACCGCTTCGGATTGAAACTATCGAGGGGAGAATTCATGAAAGTTTGGAGTGTGTGTGTTGACAATCTTCGATACTTAGTGGTTTATGAGACATAAGAAAATTAGGAATTATAAATAAGAAAATTAGGAATTATAAATATATTTTTTATATATTATGATTTTCTCATTTTTCACCTTTGCATAATAATTCTTAGTATTTGATTACTATCAATATTTAACAGTGATTTTATTATCAGTATTATCAGTATTCACCAGAAATTAAGCACTGGCCGAAAAATTACTGAATTACTGGTAATACTTAATTACTAATAATTTTTTAGTATTTCTTAATATGATTAGGTGTTTCTACATTATGTTCGTCGGATTGTGCTCACGTGTATTCTTCATGAGTCGACAGCAAGTCGACAGCAACAATTGCTTAAATATGAATGATGTGCATATGATGACAATATGCTCATATGCATATCATTCATATAAGCAATTGTTGTCATGTTGCTGTCAACTTGCTATCGACTCATGAAGAATACACGTGAGCACAATCCAACGAACATAATGTAGAAATATCTTGTCCCTACTTTTTCGAAAATAGTTGCATCAACGGTTCTCAGCAACTTGACGGCAACTTCATAGACAAATAGGTGGCTATCTGGGCTATTTTAAAAACTAGATTAAACAAAATTCAACTTTTGAAATGATTCAGAAGAGAATGCATTGCACTTCCGATTGAACCAATGAAATTCCGGGATTTACTTATACTTTATAGCCAATTTAATTTTCCTCCATTCATTTACATTTGTTTATGTTATTTCATTTAATTTTATTATATGAACCCTCACAGCACATTAACCCATCGTATACACACTTATTTTCTAAACGTTTGCATACACACTAGGTGGTTGCCATCCATGGTAATTTTCAAACAGTTGTATCTTTTAAAATATTTATGCTACAATTCTGAAAAAATTCTTGGACTAACTTTAATGTTTATAGAAAGTATTTACATACTTTTGGTATTAAAATTTAAAAAATTTCATATTAAAAAAATTATATTTCGCGATTTTTAAAAAAGTGAGTTTTTGCAAAAAAATTTGTAACTTGTAATTTTTATTATTTTTAAATATGAATTTAGCATTTTATTTTGAAATGTTTATCTTTAAGGAAAAAATTATCTCTTAAGTCATCTCTGGAAAAAGTAAATTTATTTTGAATATCAAAGTTCCATTATTTTCACTTCAGATGGCTGCCAGAAGCTAACTAACGCTTATTTTGCTAGCAGAGTGGAATCAAAGCATAGTTAAGACTCTAAACTACAATTAGATGGCGACACTAGTTCTATTTATTACGGTACTATAAAGGTACAAAACGCTGAATTTTAGTTATGGGTGATAACCACCTAGTACCCAGATAGCCAAACCTGCGCGAACAGATTTCGAGCAGAGCTTGCTATCAACTTTTGATGGCAAATTGATAACAAATTTTATGCAGGATCTATTATATCAAATCTTGCTGCCAAATTGCCGCCAAATATGCGGCAGAGTTTGTTGTCGGATAATAGCTGCAGATTTGCAGTAAAAACCGCGCAGAGCTTGTAGCGATTTGACGGCAGATTGGCGGCAGAAACCGCGCAAACCTTGCTGCGCTGCAAGCTTTGCGCGGTTTTTGCTGCAAATTTGGTACCAATTGCCCGACAGCAAGATCTGTCGCCAAAACCGTAGCCTAGTGTAGACATAGATGGCTATGGTTTTGGGGAGCGGTGCACTTGGACACAGTGCATTTGGACACAGCCAATAACAGCGTGTGATTAGAGACATTTGTAGGGTCCCTTGGAACAGCGACTTGTGATTGGACTGTGTCCAATTGCTCCGTGTCCAACTGATATACACCCATGGTTTTGCTATGGGTTTTTTATCAAATTTGCTGCCAATCTGCGCGCAGTCTGCGCTCAATTTGCTTACTGGGTATGTATACGAAGAGTTAACGCTTACCGTGTAACGTCGGGTCACTCGTGCCCTGGCAAAAGTGACTGTCCCCTGTAGCTCGAAGGGGGGTAGGAGGGGCGGGACCAAACTATACTGAAAAAAATTGTATACTACTAAGCTACTAGCTCCCCAAGCGCCGACGGTCTAGTGTGTAAACAGCAGTCGTGAGAGCCAACCAAAATTTTAAAAGTGCACAAGTGACCCGACGTTACATGTTACGTTGATTTAAAATTGCAGGTGAGTAAAATGTTTATTTTAATTTGGATGTTTTTTTTACTAAAAATTTATGTGTTTTCATTAGGAATTGATAAATTAATCTTAGTTATCTATAAATATTAATCTATTAGAGTTTCCTAACCTAACTTTTAAGTAAACACGTGTTCTGTTTTCAAATTTTGATGTGTTTTTATTATTATTGTAAATTGTATTTGATGTCATTTTCATAAATAAAATTGATTAAAAATGAATAAAATGTGTATTTTACTGTAATTTGTACCTATTTACGTACTTTCAAAAAACGTGATTTTGATGCTCAAAACTTAAGCATCCCATTAATTTATACATACTTCTACTACTTTTCTCTTTAAAGTACTATTTTTAAGCTTTAATTTCCCGTTCGAATTTTTAAAATGCATTAATTTTTGACAAAGTTACGACTTTTTGAAAAAAAAAATATTTTTCACGTTTTTATTTGTTTATATAAATATATTGTTTAAACAAATGAAAAAATCGGGAATATATCGATTGATCCTTAAAGTAGGATAGTTAATAAGGTAACATGAATTTTTTCAGATTTTTTAGAACACTTTAATGTACTTTTTTAAGCATCGGATACGAGATACCCGACGTTACACGTTTAAGGTGCCAGAAAAGACGTTACACAGTAAGGGTTAATATTGCCATAAGATTACAGCAACCTTAAATTGTAAGATGGTAACATTACACGGAGATTAATAAACATATCACTAATCTTTTAATAACAAGAAAATGTTCGTCCATGCTCATTCCATTAACATTACAAAAAACTTGAACATTATATTAAAGTTAATATAATATGCTTAGCATTTTTTAATATTTTTAATAAGAAATCCTTGATACAAAAATATTATTTATATTCAGCCTAGTTAATTTATATTGATTTCAAATGAAATTTAAATAAAATTTAGCACTTTTATTTGATTTGTCACTATCTTCACACCTAAAAATTTATTCAGTATTAATCGGACGCGAACTCGAGAACTTCAAACACCTCTAGATTATTAGTTTATCATCTTAGCTGTTGCGCTACTTCTTCAACTGATACTAAATATTTCGTATTGTCCCTATATGCAGCCGAAGCAGTAATTATAATTTTCTTATATTATTTGATACAACTACAAAAATAAACTATTTAGTCTAAATATTTCATATAATAAAAGAAAAATCAGAGATATACATAAAACTAATACATAAAACTA